TTCTCTTGAAGGCAGAGAAACTAATTGCAGGATGTTTTGGGAATTCATCTCTGATTAACATACTCTCCCTGCTCGTGTCAAAGTATACTCACTGTTTGGTTTTCATCTCAGTGGGTATCGAGTTTAATCCTAAATTCAAATTTTCTTTCCTGCATGAAGGGATTTCTACCAAGTCTTTATACCTGAATAAATGTTGTTTGGAGCTTTCCTGGTGGCTCACTGTTAAGAAATCCACCTGCCAATGCAGGAGACATGGGTTCAACCCCTGGGCTGGGAAGACATCATATGTTGAAGAACAGCTAAGCCCAGGTGCCACAGCTGCTGAGCCTGCGCTCTAGATAGAGCCCAGGAGGCATAACCACAGATCCCACATGCCGTAACTACTGGAGCCAGCGCGCAAGGAGCTCGTGCTCCCAGCAAGAGAAGCCCCCACAGTGAGAGGCCCGTGCACCGCAACTGTAGCGTCACCCCACTCTCTGCAACTAGAGCAAAGCCCCCTCAGCAACAAAGACCAGCAGAGCCAGAAATAAATAGCTACATTTAAAAATAAAAAAACATTGTTTAAAGTTGGGGAACTCAACATTTTCTGGGGAAGCTCTTATTTTCAGATATTGCAAATAATTATACTAATTTTTTTTTATTGCTTCCCTTTCTCTTAAACTATAGTCTCCAAGTATGATAGCTATGTGCCTATTTCTCTCACTCTAACGAAGCATTCCACATGAAGTACATTGACAATAATTCGATAGTAAAAACACATATTTGCAAAATACCTTAGCTAAAAGTTGACCTCAATTATGTAAACAACCAGTTCAAACTTACTAGCAAAAACATTAATAACATGAAGTGCAACTTAACAAGTTGAAAACATGATTACTTGAAGGAATCAGGAGCTAAGGATTAAAAATTGTGAGAGAAACATGAATATGAATATCCCTAATTGATAATACCTTTTTATTTGTTTTAGGGAGTGCCAGATTAAAAATGAGAAAAAATTATCAAATTTGATTAGACATGTATGGTAAATGTATGCTTTGAAATTTTAGTGCTTTGAAACAAAAATCTCTTAAAGAAAAGTAGAAATCTAACACCCTATTTCAAATGTACAAATGTGTTCATTCATTCAGTTGAGATTTCTGAAACCATTTGATTTTAGTCCAGACTCTCATTGTCTCTGATATTTGCAGCATGTCTTTTAGTCAGTCTCTTTGTCCAGATCTGCTTGCCTTTCTTCTTACCCTCTACTTTATAGGGAGGACCAGATTAGATTGCCAGACCAATCTGATGAAATAAAAATAAATATGATGACACTGATCTTCAGTTACTTATAAGAACATCCTATGACCGACTGAGTCAAGTGAAAATGTTTCTTGAATTTCAAAATATCCTTAAAGTTGTTCTTCCATTACCTACTCAAAATCTATGTCCTTATGAGAACTTCACCCCTACATATACTACATATATTCTACTCAAGGCTTACTCTGGAATAACTTACATTTTTTATTTTATCTATGTCATATAATTTAGAAGTTATTTTCTAATTTAAAAAATATATTTCCCTTTCAACTAATTTACAAGCTATTTGAGAGTAAACAACCACTTAATTCTACAGAGACCTTCATGCACAAAACACAGTGAACTTATTTCACAGCAAATATTTCATTGTGCTTTAGGAGCTAAGTAGGATAATACAAAGATTAAAATGGAAAGCAAGTGTCCTCAGTTGGAGAGCAAGTAGAGAAAACAGTAAGTATAAAACAAAATGCTTGTGATAATTCTTAGTTCAAATTCTTAAGCATAAGATATTACAGACAGAAACAGAGACAGACATGGATACTAAGATAAGAGGAATGAAAAGAGTAACTCATGATTTCTGATTTTTGTATAACAAATGGGTTAACAATGATGATGATGAACAACCCAATTTCCCATGGAAAACATAGCTCTTCTCCTTTTAAAATGAAAGTTACGTAAAACACATGCATGTATGTTAAGACACTTCAGTCATAGATTTTAGAGCTGCACTTTAAAGAAGGCTGAGCACTGAAGAATTGATGCTTTTGAATTATGGTGCTGGAGAAGACTCTTGAGAATCCCTTGGACAGCAAGGAGCTCAAACCAGTCAATCTTAAAGGAAATCAACTCTGAATATTCATTGAAAGGACTGACGCTAAAACTGAAAGTCCAGTATTTTGGCCACCTGATGCTAACAGTCAACTCACTGGAAAAGACCCTGATGCTGGGAAAGAGTGAAAGCAAAAGAAGGAGGCAACAGGTGACGAAATGGTTAGATACCATCACTGACTCAATGGACATGAGTTTGAGCAAGCTCCAGGAGATAGTGAAGGACAGGGAAGCCTGGCATGCTGCAGTTCATGGGGTCACAAAGAGTCAGACATGACAGCAACTGAACAACAACCACAAGAACAATTAAGAAGAGGATTTTAGAGTTTTTAATATTAAACATATGACATCTGTTTTAATATTTAAAGTTTATTTATTGTATTTACTGGGACTAAACCTGGAACTTTTTGAAACTACATAAACTAAGCCTATTGGTCAATATTTTCTCTATGACCTAGCTACACTGATTAAGAAATTCAATTTTATTTAACATGTAAAGAAAAATACAAGGTGACGATAACTTGTAGTCATGTTTTATAAAATGAAGTAGACTTATTAAATTTATATTCCAAATATGCAAAGTTCAGATTAAAACATAAACTCATGGAATATTACTCAGCCATTAAAAAGAATTCATTTGAATCAGTTCTAATGAGATGGATGAAACTGGAGCCCATTATACAGAGCGAAGTAAGCCAGAAAGATAAAGACCATTACAGTATACTAACACATATATATGGAATTTAGAAAGATGGTAACGATAACCCTATATGCAAAACAGAAAAAGAGACTCAGATGTATAGAACAGACTTGTGGACTCTGGGAGAAGGCGAGGGTGGGATGTTTCAAGAGAACAGCATTGAAACATGTATATTATCTAGGGTGAAACAGATCACCAGCCCAGGTTGGGTGCATGAGACAAGTGCTCGGGCCTGGTGCACTGGGAAGACCCAGAGGGATCGGGTGGAGAGGGAGGTGGGAGGGGGGACCGGGATGGGGAATACATGTAAATCCATGGCTAATTCATTTCAATGTATGACAAAAACTACTGTAATGATGTAAAGTGATTAGCCTCCAACTAATAAAAATGAATGGAAAAAAAAATAAAAAAAATAAAAAAAAATAAAAAAAATAAATAAATGAAAAAAAATAAATAAAAATGATATTTAAAATAAAATATAAACTCAAATGTTTAATTATGAACTTGAATTATTAATCATTGGAAGTGCCTAAAAATAGTATAGTCCACCTTGTGCTTTGATGAGTTTACTGATTCTGAAAACATTCAAGTAATGACACTTCTACTCATTACAATAAAATCTGAGACACTCTATGGTTGTGCGCTCAATGAGTGGTGCAGATAGTAAGTGGCCAAGGGAGGAAATGACCACTCTCCATTGAGGAAAGCAAAATACTTTCATTGAAGAGGTCAAAACTGATCTGGGCTTTCTTGTAAGTTGTTCAAAATTTATAGAAAATTTATTAAATGCCAAATTTGTTGAAACTCACGGAAACATTTAGGAATTAAAGTAAAGGTGAGCGACAGATAGATGCAGTGACAAGGGGCAGAGGAAGAGAGATGGAGAAGGACAGTCACAGATACAAATAGAGAGACAGGACAGTTATCAGCGTCCAAGGGTAAATACTTAGAAAGACGGAATTGAGATTTGAACACTGGTGGTCCAACACCTGAATTCAAATCCTTAACATCTATTCTGCACTACTTACTAAGTTGTATGTATAAGATATGGTAGGTAATATGGAGAAAAGAAAGATCTAAAAGCTTAGCACAACAAAAGTAGAGCAGACCCATTTGAAAGAATGGAGAAAAATAATTGTAAATTATATCGGGACCAGATCTCCAGTGTAGATCAAAACGTCCTAGCACTACAAAATGTCACAGTTGTTCATTATGTTCAAGAGTTAAGCTGGTGTATGTTGCACAGTGTAAAATGTCTGGAAGTTTTTCAAGAAAAGTGTCATGTGTACCAGTTTTCCAACTGAGAGTTAACAAAGACCAACATACCATTGGGAAAACTGTATCTTAGACATAGCAAAACTACTTACCAGTGATTCTTAAATAAAAGAAGGTACGAGTCTTGCCAACTTCCCAGGTATAAGAACAACAACAACAACAAGTATGAATCAGATGTAAAAGCAAAAATGGTAATTTTGACTTCTTGAATACTAGACTGCTTTTCTCCACTAAACCTTTGCCACTTTCACTCGTCAGAATTGATTTTCAACTAATTTCTCATTCAAGCAGTAACAAAGCCCTTGCTTAATTTGGGGTTCTTCATTAAAAGAGATTGTAATTCACTCAACTTGTAAGGCTTGCTAACTATGTGACTTTGAACATGTTTAGGAACTTGTTCAACTGTGTTCTTTTTAAGTTCTGATCTCCTAGATGAGGAAATGAATATTTATTTTTTCACAGATGTGATATATGTAAAGCACTCAGAACACATTTAATGCAATTATTATTATTTTCTTTTGATTTTCTTGGATTTTCCTGATGGCTCAGATGGTAAAGCATCTGCCTACAATGTGGTAGACCTGGGTTCAATCCTTGGGTCAGGAAGATCTCCTGGAGAAGGAAATGGCAACCCACTCCAGTACTCTTGTCTGGAAAATCCCATGGACGGAGGAGCCTGGTAAGCTGCAGTCCATGGGGTCGCAAAGAGTCGGACATGACTGAGCGACTTCACTTTCTTTCTTTCTTTTGATTTTCTTAAGCTCTTCAAAATTAATAAACAGTAACTGATCCATGAGTCAGTTTGGTATAAAGGAAAATATGTGGATTAAAGATAAATTATAAGACTAATATTCCAACCTCAAGAGTTAAACATACTGATCAAAATACTAATTTTCTCAAGGGAACATTGAAAGGGAGCAGTATCATCTCCTCAATCATACTGCTGAAGGACCAGTGAATTTGTCTGACAGCATCTCGCTAAAACCTTGCAACATCCCTGTGAAGTAGGTATAAAACAGTAGTTATTATCCTGTTATTACAATTCAGCACATTGAAAAAATTTACCCAAGGTTCTAGAAAAGTTAATTAGAGGCAAGGATCAAATTTTCATATTGCCAGCCCAGTATCTTTTAATTTGGCTGAAACCTTGTGATTTTGCCATGTGTAATGTGAAAACAAAACCAATGGGGATCTAGATAATCTCTGGAATATTGCACAATTTAAAAAGTTCCAGCAAAAATTACTTAATAGATTTATCCCCCAAAGGTAATTTGAGACTATATATAATAAATGTTACATCTGTATTATTTAAAAAATGTACTAACCTAGAAATATTAGCACAATATAAAAGACAGTATTCCTTCAAGTTCAACAGTATAGACTCTGGAGTTAGACTCCTTGTATTTAAGGACCGAACTCTGTTTCTTTAAGGTAAAAACTTAATCTGTGTAAATCTTAATGACCATGTTCAGAAAACAGGGCTAACTACCTTACAAGATTTAATCTATATTGAGGATTTAATTAAATGATGAATATAAATATATTTATAATAAATAAGTCCCTAATACATACTAAATATTACTCTTACCTGTTAAATTTATTGTTAAACACATTTCTTCCAAAACAATAACTAAATTGTTTTAAGATGTTTATTTATCTTTCCAATCAAGCTTTAAAAATAAAATTTATTTTTCAAAAGACTACATCTAACACCAAAATTTATGTTCCTTTTGTTGTATGTTTTTTCAATAAGGAAGATAAACTTCCAAGACAAAGAATTAAGACTGGAATTATAAAAAATACATGAATTATAAAAATACACAAAAAAGTGTAGATTTTAATGAAATCAGAGAAAACTAAGACATATCAGTAATGAGATCCTTCAATAATTGTTTAGTAGAAATTTGCTTCACATACTTATTGATTAAAAAAAAAAGTGCAACCTAACCAATGAAGAGAATTATATCTCTGTCTTTCAGACAAAACTTTCTTTAACACTTACAGAAAAAACAAAAACAAAAACATGCATTATGCAAATAACCTTACAGCTTCACCTAAAAGAAAATATATATATATAAAGTTCAGCTTCTTTCATGAAGAAGGGTAGTAAGAAGCCAGTAATATTTTAGGAAATGTGTCTTTCAGGGGATTTGGTAGAGACAGCTAAAACTAAGTTGACCCCAGAGGGTTTGGAGATGATGCTATCCTTGAAGTTTGAGAGTAAAAAGAGAGCATTACTGACCTAAGGAACTGAGATATAAATTTTTTTTTTAATGTTATCAGAAACATCTGGTAAAAGTTGACTAAGCATTCTGTTTTCTATGTTTCCATTTTAGGAAGCAGTACATGGTAAAACACAGATCTGTATATCCTGAGTGGCAAAACAGAGCAAAGCAAAAAGTTCCAAAAATGTAATGGAGACATAGTAAAAATAAGAGAGCTAAGAAAGCTTGGGTAAGGCCTTCATATATCTCTCAATAATTTGAGAACTCTGCATAGGAACAGAGAAAACCCATGAGAACACAATGGAAAGTAAAAACTGAGACAGATTTGGAAAGTTAACTACCCATAAAATCATACACATCAATCTAGACACAAATCAACCAGTATAAAGTGGAAGACATAATCTCAAGATATTTGGGGGTGGGGGGGAACTAGTCACCTATTGGCTGACCACTAATCAACTAAGATATGAGGCCCACTTCTAAATAACCAGTTTTAAAAATAGAAGACTCCACAATGAGAAGCCCAGCCACTGAAGCTAGAGAGTTAACCCCAGCTCTTTGCAACTAGAAGAAGTCTGCAGTCAGCAGTGAAGACATAACACAGTCAAAAATAAATAGATAAAACAATAATAAGAAAAAAATGATTAGGGACATTAATACCTGCACATCACGAAGGAAAAGATTAAGTAAATGCAAGTTACCAAATAAATAAATGAAATATTAGGAAAAGAAAAGCAATCTGGAATTGTTAAACTATGTTATCTAACATGTCTAGTTTTCAACAACAAGAAAATACTACAAGGCAGGCAAAGAAACAGGAAAGTGTGACCCATGCTCACAAAGAAAGCAGTGAATGAAAACTGTCTAAATGGGTCCCTGTGTTGGATTTAGCAAAGACTTCAAAGATGCCTTTATAAATATGTTAAAAGACTTAAAGAAAAATTATGTTTAAAAAGGTAAAGGAAAATGTTATAACAGTGAATGTCAAACAGGGTATCTAATAGAAAAACAAAAACTGTATTTAAAATAATTCTAGAATTCAAGTATGGGGAAAAAAAATTGACTAGATGAACTCAAAAGCAGAACAGAAATGGCATAAGCAACAATCAGTTAACTTGAAATATATCAATAGAAATATCCAATATAAAGAAAGGATTGCAAAGAGATTAAATAAAAATAGAGATATATGGGATAGCAAAGAGAATACTGATGTGTATATAATGGGATTGCCAGGGAGTGAGAGGAGAAAGAATACAAATATATATATTGAAGAATTTCCAAATTTGATTCAATTTAATTTTAGTAGCACAAACAAAGGGGATTTCTCGGTGGCTCAGACAGACAAGCAAAGGATATTCACAGCTAGATTATCAATAACCAACTACTGAAAGACAAGAGGAAAATATCAAAGCAGTAAGAGAAAGATGATTCATCACTTATAGTAAAGCAATAATATGATTTAGCACTGACCACTGACTTGCAATGAAATCACAAAATGCTGAAAGGCAAAAAATAAAATAACATAAAAAAAAGTCAACCGAGAATTCTATAACTAGTTAAACTGCCTTTCAAAATGAAGGAAACATGGCAGTGGTTTAGTTACTAAGTCATGTTCTGACTCTTGGGACACCATAGACTGTAGCCTTCTGGGCTCTTCTGTCCATAGGATTTTCCAGACAAGAATATTGGAGTGGGTTGCCATTTCCTTCCCCAGAGAACCTTCCTACTGAAGAACTGAACATAGGTCTCCTGTGTTGCAGGCAGATTCTTTATTGACTGAGCTATGAGGAAAGCATATTCACTGATAAAATAAATAAATAAAAGCATTAGATATTAGAACAGTTATCACTCAGTATCTAGAGGAAATTGGTTCCAGGAGCCTCCATGGATACCAAAATCTGCAGATGCTTGAGCCATATAAAATGACATAGTACAATGAAAGGACTTGCCAGGTAACTCAGTGGTAAAGAATCTATCTGCTTGCCAATGCAGTAGACACAAGAGGCACAGGTTAGATCCTTGGGTCAGGAAGATCCCCTGGAGGAGGGAAATGGCAGCCCACTCCAGTATTCTTGCCTGGAAAATTCCATGCACAGAGGATCTGGTGGACTGCAGTCCATGGGGTCACAATGAGTCAGACACAACTGCGTGCATGCACACAGACACACAGAAAAATGAATATATTTGGACCTTTATACCTGTGGGTTTTGCATCCTAGGATTCAACAAATTGGGGGTTAAGTTTCAATTCACAATTGGCTGAATCACTGATTGATTACATCCTTGGGTGCAAAACCCAAAGATAATGAGGTAATATGTGTCAAATGGGGAGCAGAGAGGTAGTAGCATTGTTTCTTAGAAGTCTGATAACTGTTTTATTTAAATCAATTAACTCAAACTTCACTCATGCCTTAATAGCCAGGCTTTAAAATTCAAAGATAATACTGACTTACAAAACTATACAAAAAGATTTTGAATATACATGCAAAGTTGTGCTTCTTTAAACCATCCCAAAGAAAAAGAAATGCAAGAAGGTGAAATGGTTGTTTGAGGAGGCCTTACAAATAGCTGAGAAAAGAAGAGAAGCAGAAGGCAAAGGAGAAAAGGAAAGATATACCCATCTAAATGCAGTTTCTGAGAATAGCAAGGAAGCCTTCTTAAGCGNTTTCAAATCCTAAAAGATGATGCTGTGAAAGTGCTGCACTAAATGTGCCAGCAAATTGGAAAACTCAGCAGTGGCCACAGGACTGGAAAAGGTAAATTTTCATTCCAATCCCCAAAAGGGCAACTCCAAAGAATATTCAAACTACCGTACATTGAGCTAATGTCACATGCTAGCAAGGAAATGCTCAAAATCCTTAGAGCTAGGCTTCATCAGTACATGAATTGAGAACTTGTACATGTGCAAGCTGGATTTAGAAAAAACAGAAGAACCAGAGGTCAAATTGCCAACATATTCTGGTAGAAAAAGTAAGAGAATTTCAGAAGAAGATATACTTCTGTTTCATTGACTATGCAAAATCCTTTGACTGCATGGATTACAACAAACTGTGGAAAATTCTGAAAGAGATGGGAATGCCAGACCACCTTACTTATCTCCTGAGAAACCTCTATGCAGGTCGAGAAACAACAGGTAGATCTGGACATGGAACAACAGACTGGTTCAAAATTGGGAAAGGAGTACGTCAAGCCTATATATTGTCACCCTGCTTATTTAACTTCTATGAAGAGTACATCATGCAAAATACCAGGATGGATGCACAAGCAGAATCAAGATTGCTGGGAAAAATATTAACAACCTCAGATGCACAGGTGATACGACTCTAATGGCAGAAAGCTAAGAGGAAATAAAGAGCCTCTTGAGGAGGGTGAAAAGGGAGAGTGAGAAAGCTGGCTTAAAACGCAACATTCAAAAAACAAAGATCATGGCAACCAGTCCTATCACTTCATGGCAAATAGATGGGGAAAAAATTGAAACAGTGAGAGACTTTTTTCCTTGGGTTCCAAAAATCACTGCAGATAGTGACTGCAGCTGTGAAATTAAAAGACACTTGCTCCTTGGAATAAAAGCTATGACAAACACAGTATATTAAAATGCAGAGAGACCACTTTGCCAGCAAAGATTCCTATAGTTAAAGTTATACTTTTTCCAATAGTCACCTACGAATGTGAGAGTTGGAGCATAAAGAAGCCAAGCACTGAAGAATTGATGCTTTCAAACTGTGATGCTGGAGAAGACTCTTGAGAGTCCCTTGGACAAACCAGTCAATCCAAAGGAAATCAACTCTGGATATTCATTGGAAGGACTGATACTGAAGTTGAGGCTCCAATACTTTGGCCACCTGATGTAAAGAGCCGACTCACTGGAAAAGATGCTGGGAAAGATTGAAGGTGGGAGGAGGATGGAACGACAGAGGATGAGAGGTGGGATGGCATCACTGATTCGATGGACATGAGTTTGAGCAAGCACCAGGAGTTGGTGATGGACAGGGAAGCCTGGCGTGCTGCAGTCCATGGGAATGCAAAGAGTCAGACACAATAGCAACTGAACAACAATTATACAAAAATTATATACATATTAGTTATTAATTTTTGTATAGCTTTTCATCATCAATGAAAGCAATTAGTACAAAGAGCTAATTTACTACTTGATAAATTGGTTTGTGCCAAAAAGTTAATCATCTTTATTATTATGCTCACACAATGTTATTTTTTTCTCATACAAAGACATTCGCAATGAAGACCATGCATTTTTAAAAAATCCTAATACAGTAATTGTCTGTGATCTGGCAGCTGGTCTTTTGACCCCACACTGAATAACACTGCATAGAAGTCCATTTATAAAACATAACTTGTAAATGCTAAAATAAATGCTAAAATTTCTTGATAGAAAAACAGCATGAAAAATTTAACCATATTTATTGATTTTTATATATTTACTTCTTATTTGAGCAATGATAGTCTAATAAAATGGACCAAAACTGGATTTTATTTCTTCAAAAAAGTTAAAAAAAAAAAAGTTCATTCTATCCAGGTAAGTGAAATTTAAGGCTGAATTTTCTGTTTTTTAACCTGTGATCAATTTATTTTTATATGTGAGCCATCCATAAATTATAGGTCCTTTTGGTTCTGATCTTTCACATGTTTTATCAATGAAGGTATGAAAGTAAATACTCTCAAACCATTCTGGGACTAGCTTATATGATTTCTTACTATAATTTGACTATACATTGTTGTTCAGTCACTCAAGTCCAACCCTTTATAGCACATTTTTACTGAATTGTAACTATAATTCTAGTCCTAAGCTCTCTCTGGGATTTTAAAGAGGAATAGTGTATGATCTTTGGCCATAAGAGGCTAGCATCAGACTCTAATTACAGAATTTTACAATAGATAATATGGATATGGTATTGGATAAATATGTAAAAGAAGCAGTGTGACTTTAAGAATTCTATAATTGTGCAGGTGTGACCAGGTGCACATATGAACATATGTTAAGTGTGAATAGTAAATATATGTGACACAATTAGAAAATTGAGTGATATATTAACATGCTAATTGTGTTACAGGTATACTGACCTTTGATAAGTTCAATAGAGAAGCTTCCAGAAAGTGTTAAGAAATGAAGAATGACAAATTGCATTGGAAACAGAATTCAATATGAAATGTTGGGTGAATTGTGAGAAAAGAAACTGGCCTCACAGTAATAAATAAGGGCTTGTTT